GGTTGAGTTGAGCTGGGTTGGATTGGGATGGGATGGGATGGGTTGAGTTGATTTGGGATGGATTAGGATGGGATTGGTTGGGTTGAGTTGAGCTGGGGTGGATTGGGATGGGATGGGATGGGTTGAGCTGGGGTGGATTGGGATTGGGATGGGTTGGGTTGAGTTGAGCTGGGTTGGATTGGGATGGGATGGATTGAGTTGATTTGGGTTGGATTGGGATGGGATGGGTTGGGTTGGTTTGAACTGGGTTGGATTGGGATGGGTTGGGTTGGGTTGAGTTGAGCTGGGTTGGATTGGGTTGGGTAGAGAGGATAGTTATGGGTTACCCTCTGCGTTTGTGTCATGAAGGTCAACATACAGGTATTATCGTGCACATTGGTTATTCTATCCTCACCTCATGGGGTGCAGGTCAAACATTGGAGGTTGCAACTCAGCCAGTTCGATAGCTGTGATCCCAACGGCCCAAATATCACACTGCTGATTGTAACCACCCTTCTTCTCCACTGCTGCCACTTCTGGTGCCATCCTGAGTGCAAAATGAGATGGGCATTAACAAGTTGGAGCAGGGGCAGGACAAGGATGTTTCTGACGAGAGAGTGAATACACAAAACGCAACCGGGCAACTGAATGCTGAACCACTCATTATCGGTGTTGTCTGATCTGATTAACATCCCTGTCTCTATGTCAAAAAGACCTGGGTCCAATTACAAGCCAGCCCTTAGCTGCCACCACCCCCCCCATCAACACCTTACAGACTGCCCGATCAACCAGACAAGCCACAGGGGATGTTGGAAACAGATACGGTCAGTAAAATGTGACAGACCACCTCCAGAGCCCAGGAGAGAAAAGATTGATTCCCAACATGGACCAACATTTTCCCAAAGCTTGACAGCATTGACCCTCTGACCGTGCGGCGCTCCCACAGTACTGAGCCTCTGACAGTGCCCGCTCCCTCAGCACTGACCCTCCAACAGTGCCCGCTCCCTCAGCACTGACCCTCCAACAGTGTGGCGCTCCCACAGTACTGAGCCTCTGACAGTGTCCGCTCCCTCAGCACTGACCCTCCGACAGTGCCCGCTCCCTCAGCACTGACCCTCCGACAGTGCCCGCTCCCTCAGCACTGACCCTCCGACAGTGCCGGCTCCCTCAGCACTGACCCTCCGACAGTGCCCACTCCCTCAGCACTGACCCTCTGACAGTGCGCGCTCCCTCAGCAGTGACCCCCTGACAGTGCGGGGGCCTGTAGTTATCGAGGTGTATTCGGCGAGGTGTGTATGATTTACCAGTATGGTGTACCAATGAAAGACTTCCTCTTGCCCACTGAGGCTGTAAGCTCAGCTGAAACACCAAAATCCGCTGCGAATGAAGAGAGACAGAGAGTCACTTCCTTTGAGCCCAACAGCTCCCATCCGACAATCTGTGACCCACTCACCCCTGGCCAAATGTCAGTGTCATCTCCCTCTCAGCAGCTCACGTTTCAGTTTTACTTTTATAACATCACCTCCTCGTTCTGTTTGACCCTCAGGAGGAAACATCCTTCCTGTGTCCACCTTCTCCAGACTGTAGTCACTTTAATCAATCAGCCCCCTCTCTCTTCTACGCTCCAGGAGTCTGTGTGACCTTTCCCTGCGAGATAACCCATTCAATCCTGGTGCTAATTGAGTAAACCCCCTCTGAACAGCTGTCCAACACACTCCCCTCCTTCCAACTTTTACAGATACACTACAGAAAGCGTTCTATCCTGGTACATAACGGCCTAGTACAGCAACTGCTCTGCCCAGGACCGTTAGAAACTACAGAGGGTTGTGAACACAGCCCAGACCATCAGACAAACCGACTTCCCATCCATTGGCTCCATCTGCACAGCTCGCTGCCTCAGAAAAGCAGCCATCATCATCAAAGACCCCTCCCATCCCAGTTATAATCTCTTCCAGCCTCAGGCAGGAAATACAGAAGCTTAAACACATGCATCAATAGCTTTTTCCCTGCTGTTGTTAGACCTCTCCAATTACAAACCTAATGTTGATCTCGCTGTTTGTGCACTTTTCTGCAGGTGTAACCCTGTATTCCCTGCTCTGTTCTATCCCCCTATGACCTTCGTGTGGTAGGATCTGCCTGTACTGCATGCAAAACAAAACTTTCCACTGTATTTAGGTACATGTGACAACAATAAATCAAATCACATCAAAATATTGGTCCCGCCAATACCCTGTAGAACTGGAGCAAAGCGTCATTATTCAGCCCCTCTTGTCAGGAAGAATAGTGCCCCAATGACCTGCCTAGCTACATGCTGCAGCTGTGGGCTCATGTGTTACGACTCAGAGAACGCTGACACAAAATTAATGCCACCTCCCGTTACTGCACACAGACACCATCCCCCTCACCGACGATGTGACATTGGCTCGTTCCCAGACATATCTCACCTAGCTTGACATCCCCTTGATCAGTCAACAGAATATTCGCTCCCTGTGGGAAGGGGACAGAGCAGAAGACAATGTTAAAAAGCAGGAGGTTTGACTGGGACGTCTCACGCCCACGTTCAGAGCCCCCACCTCCCCCACATCACCCCCCTCCGCTTACCGGACCACGGGCTCTCGTTAAGAGCACGGGATGGGGCAGAACTCAAGCAGCCCCACGTCAGAAATGCCCTCAGCTGGCCCAGAGAGGGCTCAGGTGAGAGGATGCCCATCGATCTCTTTCAGTGCCAGCCTCATGCCAGGCCAGGTGAGGGCACCCACCGGGAAGAGACTTTGGCAGATCATGTTGTCAAACTTCCTCAGACGATTCATGGGAACATTGTCTGTAGGAAGCACATTTTTAAACTGAAGCGGGGTTCGGGAAGGATTTACCAGGACGTTGCTAGCTAGGCTCGGGGCATCTGTCACTTGAGCATAGGGAGGTTTATAATAAGAGAGGTTTATAATCACAAGGGGCGTAGGTAAGGTGAAGGTCCTGTCCCCAGGGTGGGGGACCCCAAAACTAGAGGGCATAGATTTAAGGTGAGAGGAGAAGGATTCAAAAAGGGACCTTTTTCACACACAGAGGGTGGTTCGAGCTCCCAGAGGGAGTGGTAAATGCAGGTACAGTTGCAACATTTAAAAGGACAGCTACATGAACTGGAAAGGTTTAGAGGGATATGGGCCTAACACAAGCGAATGGAACTAGTTTAGTTCGGGAAAGCTGGTCGGTGTGGATCAGTTGGACCAAAGGGTCTGTTTCATGCAGTGTGACTCTCAGAAGCATGTTCTTGTGTCATGGGGGAACTGGGTGGGCATGGTGGCTCAGTGATTAGCACTGCTGCCTCACAGCGCCAGGGACCCGTGTTCGATCCCACCCTCGGGCAACTGCCTGTGTGGAGTTTGCGCATTCTCCTCGTGTCTGCGTGGGTTTCCTCCAGGTGCTCCGGTTTCCTCCCACAGCCCAAAGAACGTCCAGGGATGTGCATGCTAGGTGGGTTAGCCATGAAAGAAGCAGGATTACAGGGATTGGGTTGGGGTGGGATGCTCTGCAGAGGTTCAGTGTGGACTGGATGGGGTGAAAGACCTCTTCCTGCACTGTGAGGATGCTACATTGTCCCCCCATCAAACACGCCCAGGGTCAGGGACAGCACGGGGTTAGATACAGAGTAAAGCTCTCTCTATAATGTCCCCGCATCCTGCACTGTAAGGATGCTAGGAGGAGGCCATTCAGCCCGGCAAGGCTGCTTCACCATCCAATCTGAAAATCTATCTCAATGCTGTTTTCTCACCATAACCCTCAATGCCTTCACATTCCGAAAACATGGCTCTCTCTTTCTCGAACATATCCAATGATCCGTCATCCACAGCATTCAGTGGGAGAGAATTCCAGAGGCTGACACCTTCTTGTGTGAACAAACCTTTCCTCATGTCCATCTTAAATGGTCTACCCCACCTACCCATATCGTGAGATCGTGACCCCCGGGTTATAGTCTCCCCAACCAATAAAAACATCCTCCCAGACTTGTGTCTGTCCAGCCTGAAGTTCATCACAATAAGACTACAGCCTGCATCCACTGGGTAAGAGACACATTTATCTGCTAAAGAGACAATAACGCTTGTTGAATGGTTTCCGGAGAATTTGGGTTCAAGACAGATTGGAGAAGGGGAACAGAAGGTCAAGAACTGTCACCAGTCATTGGCTTTGTTATAGAAGTTACATATTAAGGTTGAATGTGACGACACGCACATGGTATTCAGAGATAAACCAAACTCTCATTTCTCAATTCTGAACCCGGAAGGCAATCCCATAAACCTACCCGCCTCCTGCTAGAGGGTCTACTCCACCTGCCTCTCCTCCTCCCATCCTGTCTTACACACTCACTAACTCCGCCCATGCTGTGCTATTTACACCCAGTGAGAAGCAGCTCCGTCACACCATCGCTGGGTCCCAAAGCCATTGCAAACGAGATTGATGCTACGCGGCTGTCAACTGTGGAACTGGGGGATTTCCAAAGTTTTCAGGTTAGCCCCTTTCGGGGCAATGGTCTCATACAGCAAATCCGTGCGTGAGATCCCAGATTCCTGCTCGGATTTCTCAACGACACTGAATTCCCAAATCCTTTCCAACACAGCGCAGACATCTCTTCGGTGCGGAGGTGCCGGTGTTGGGCTGGGATGGACAAAGGTCAGAAGTCACGCGGCGCCAGGTTACGGTCCAACAGGTTTGTTTGAAATCACAAGCTTTCGGAGCGCTGCCCCTTTGTCGGACAAAGTGGGGCATCTCTTTGTCAGCAGGGGTCCTGTTGGGGGGGCCAAGGCTAGGTGCGGAGGGACATTATCCACCAGGTCACCAGGAGGGGGGGTTCTCAGTGAATGTGGAGAGAGACAGAGAGAGACTGGAGACGCTGGGACTGTTCCCCACAGAATGGGGAAAGGACGTTGAATCAAGGCATCTGGAATCAGGAAGGGGATCGAGTCAGTGAGACGGAGAAACCATTCCCAGCGGTCAGCGGAGGGACACGGATTGAGGAGAAATGGGAACGGGGGAGGCGGGGAGAATGTTTTATTTGAGGCAGCGAGTTGTTGTGATCTGGGACAGTCGGGAGCAGGTTAAACAGGAAGGAGCGGGGTGGGGGGAAGTAATAGTGGGAATGGAGGAATTTGTAGAGAGGTGTGAGAGGAGGGAGCAGGGGGTTTGGGAACTGGAGAGACCTTTCACAGCATGATGAACTGAGCGGCCTCCTCTTGTGGTCAGGAATGCTGGGTAAGTAGCAGGAAGCATGGCTGTTTTCCCTATCCCACCCTCCCATTCTTAACCCAGAGCAATCAAGTATCGGTTATCTTCCTGGCTCCAAAACACAGAGCTCAGCCCATGTGTGAGGGTGGTCAGAGCTCAGTGTGTCACAGTGGAGGGTTCCACACGGGACATCCCCAGGTTTACCTTGATATCTCGATGCATTTTCCCGTTGCTGTGAAGGTACTGCAAACCCTTTAAAACAGAAGGTTAAATTATTCATTAATCAGAACAAGTTATTAACGATTACAGAGTAAAGTTCCCTCTATGCCATCCCCCCCATCAAACACTCCCAGGACAAGGACAGCACGGGCTTAGATACAGAGTAAAGCTCCTTCTGCACTGTCCCCCACATCAAACACTCCCAGGGACAGGGAGAGCATGGGGTTAGATACAGAGTAAAGCTTCCTCTACACTGTCCCCTCCATCAAACACTCCCATGGACAGGGACAGCACGGGGTTAGTTACAGAGTAAAGTTCCCTCTATACTATCCCCCCCCATCAAACCCTCCCAGGACAGGGACAGCACGGGGTTAGACACAGAGTAAAGCTCCCTCTACACCGTTCCCCTCCATCAAACACTCCCAGGGACAGGGACAGCACGGGGTTAGACACAGAGTAAGGCGTTTCCTGACTGTGTGAATCTGTCTGAAATGGGGTGTTCACTTACCTGGAGCGTTTCTCTGCAGACGTAGGCAATTTGTTTTTCTGACAAGGGGCCGGTGACTGTTGTGGAAGAATAAAATTGGTTAGAAAGCAGTGAGGAGCTGCCGACCCTGACTAGTTTCGTTCTGTTTTACCAGCCGGCCAGTTACACAGGGTTTGGTTGTCTTGCTTCTGCCTATGTCGATCTCTGAACCCAATGAACTGTATCAGAGATAGTAGGAACTGCAGATGCTGGAGAATCCGAGACAACAAGGTGCAGGGCTGGATGAACACAGCAGGCCAAGCAGCATCA